TTACTAGGAGAAACTAAATAACAATTTAAAAAGGCAAATGCAATTGGTACAAACAAAACTAGTGATAAAGTCCATAACCTGATACCCTGAGGAGTCGGGGTGTTGGTAGCAGTCCGGTTGAAATGATAGCTGCTCCTCTTGCAGTGGCTGATGAATTGCAGCTGGAGTGGTGATCTTTAGAAGGGTATAGTTTTCTCTGAAGATCTGGTGGCAGTTGGGCTGGTCTTCCTCTGGGAATCCAGCAGAGGAAAAAGAAAAAAGAGCTGTCTCTCTGGGAATCCCACTGAAGGAGCCGCTTCTCTGGGAATCCCGCCGAAGGAGCTGCTTCTCTGGGAATCCCGCAAAGAGAGAGTGCTGCTCTGTCTCCCAAAAGGTACCCCTTTATACAATAAAAGAGTGCTTGGCTTCCCCCTCTGGGTGGAGCATCTCACAATGGGATGGTGTAACGTTACCAGGCCTGCAGTGAGTCAGTCAATGGCCCATTAACAAACCATTACCTCTTCGGAGCAAACCATGGTTCTTGGAAGAGATAATAAACCTACCCAACCTCCAACAGATGGCAAATAGAATACAAGCTTATCTTACAAACCAGAACATCCTCTCATGGAGCTGTGGAGAGTGATAAGGTCCTGCCTGAGCCTCTTTTTCTCCATGTTAAACACCTCCAGCTCCCTCAGCTCTTCCTCATCAGACTTGTGCTTCAGACCCTTCACCACCCTTGTTGCCCTTCTCTGGACTTGCTCTAGCACCTCAATGTCTTTCTTGCAGTGAGGGTCCCAGAATGAACACAGGATTCCAGCTGTGGCCTCACCAGTGCTGAGCACAGGGGAACAATCCCTGCCCGTGTCCTGCTGGCCACACCATTGCTGATACAGGCCAGGTGCCGTGGGCTTCCTTGGCCACCTGGGAAGACTGATGGCTCATGTTCAGCCCTCTGAGAGTGTGGATGCCCCATCCCTCAAAGGGTTCTTTAGAGTCCCTTGCAGCCTAAACCATTCTCTTCTTCCTTAGCATATGTATTCATGTATATATTTATGCACAGTAATAGATGGGCCTGGTACTATTGTGGATGATAAACAAAAGCACCGATGTTGTTTTCTCAAAACCAGACACAAAGTCACATTGAAGAATCCAGAAACTGGGGGGAGAATAGGGAATGACTAATGTAGTATAAAACTGGCTTCAAAATCAGAATTTTAAAGCAGAAGCATGGCAAAAGACCATCTGAAAGATCTCACCATGAGATCTTTGCAGACATTTATTTTATGCTAAATACTGAATACTGTAAATGGTACTTTATACTGTCAGTTTGGTAATTAAACACTTGAATCGGTCTAGAGATGATGTTCCACAATTGTCAAGCCCTGATATTTTTTTGCTAAACATGATTACATGCATTTCCTCAGTTAAGGCTGAAACAAATTCTTTAGATGATATTTCTTTCTAATATTTTTCTTGTATCAACTGTTTCTATTTCTGTCTATGGAACAAGAAATCAGAGATAGTCCTGCCCCAGCTTATTTTTGCTTTTGAAATCTATGATCCGGAGATCTTGATTCTCCTCACTTCCTGATCCTCCTTTCTTTTCTTCACTACATGGGCACAAATTATGTCCTATCTCAAATTATTCTCCCTGATGCCAGACTTTGCTCTCAACCACGAGAGCTCTTTGCAGTGCACTAAAAGATCTCACGGTCACAGGATCCAAATTGATACTGACACAGATGTCTTATAGCAAATAATTTCTTCTGTGATCACACAAGTGACAACACCTTTGGTGTGCTCTTGAGAACTCTGCCTCTGTGATTCTTGGGATCTGAGACTGTGGAACACCGAGGCTGGCCATTTTCAGTGATGCATCTCCAGAACAGTTCTGGACTTGATGAACAACCTACAGGGAGCACTGAAAGAAAACAGTTTGTTGGAGTATAGAGAGTGTCATTACTTGGTCACAAGCTTTGAGTGCTCCTGGGATTCTGCAGAGCTGCAGAACAGAGCATCCCACAAGCTCTGCAGCAATCAGTCCTGTGGTAGGGCTGCCCTTCTTCATTCACCAGCTCCACAGGTGTCCCTGTCTTACTCTTTGTGTCTGCAGGCTTCCAGCACTACAAAATTTTAAAGTGTGGGAAGACAAGCTTGTGAGGGTATGTGAAATATGACAGCCTCTGCTCTATGAAATTTATCTAACAAATGAATCTTTCTGATTCAAAGGAGTCATACTGATGTGATTTGCCAGCAACATTTGAGCTGGAGCAGCCAGCAAGCAGGGCATGGATATAGAGAGGGATTTCAGACAGGCAGGAGACTCGTGCTGGGATTCAAGGCACCCACGACTGCCAGAACACCCATGAGAACAGTGTGTGGTGTGTGGGGGCTGGCTGCAGGCACCAAACTGCACTAGCCCGGGCCTAGGAGACACCAAAGTGTCCTCTGGTCAGAGAGCCCAGAGCCAGGTGTGAGACTGGAAAGGCTGAGGGCTCTCAGTCCTGTTGGAAGCACCTGTGGAGGTGTTTGTGGCTGTGGAGAGCGAGGCTGTGCAGGTCTTCCCTAGAGGGCTTCCGTGGGGATGGCTTGCAGAGAAGGAAGGAGATGGGGCTGTGCCTCTTCCATTCCATTCTGTGGGGGTGCTGGTGGTGTCAGCTGTGGGGTGGCTGAGGGCAGCCCCTGGTGTGTCCAGACAGTGCCATTGGCCCTGTCCATGTCCTTTCCGTGCACAGGCGGTGCCTGTCCCTGGGTCACAGAGCCAAGCCCAGCACGGGCTGTCCCTGCAGCCTGGGCAGTGGCACTGGGAGCAGCAGCCTGGACAGAGAGCTGCAGCCTGGGCTGCAGCAGCTGAGCAGCAGGAGCTCCTGGGGCTGAGCTCTGCTCATCCTGAGCTGTCCCGACACACGGCACTCGGAAAGTCACTTGGCCAGAAAGATACCCTGGAACTGGGGCTTTCCCCCACAGAAGAAGCACTATCATGTAACTTTAGTGTTCTCTCCTTTTGCTTTCAATCCTGATCAGCTGTTTGCAGGAACTACCATGGGCTTTCTCAGAAGAGCATCTTGTGTGTTGAAATCATACAGATCAGCAGATGCCCTCTCAGTTCTCTTTTTCTTGAACTGGTGGTTGGATGTGATTCTACTTCTACTCTCTCTCGAAAGCAGGAGAACCACATCATGAATATTCTCTTCCAAAACCCCAGATTCACCAAGAAACCCTCAAACACTAAACGGAGGAGAGAGAAATTGCAGGGACACATTAATTGCATTGTCAAGGTCAATGCAAAGGAGCTCATTAGACTCACTGAGTCCATGTCCTGAGTGCACAGAAATCTCCATCAGGACAGCATCAGTCTGACAAGGCTGATGGGATGGACGAGGGACACTGATCATCTTTATTTATAGCAGGATTCCTCAGGAGCAAGATGGCTCAGGAAATACTGGAATTTGCCTGTCTTGGTCCTTATGTGATGAGCTTGAATGATGCAGGGAGCCAGGAGGATTGTAGGGTTGGTGGGTAATTGAAGTTGGAAGTGACCTTTGGTTTTCATTGGATCCAGTCAGCTGCTTAACACAGGTACAGCTGAGAGGTGAATTATGGTTGCTGGTGCTTTTTCCAGTCAGGGCTAGAAAACCTCTGAGTATTCAGACTATCCAAGTTCTCTGGGTGGTGTGATTTAAAATTTTCTGACCCCATCAGGAAAATTTTTCTCAGCCATGGAAGGGACAAAGCTAAGAATTCCCAGAGGGGCTCAGCAAAAGGACATCTGGAAAGGGTCTTATCTGGTAACCGGGAAGCTCTGACTGAAAATAAGGGAAATAACCATTGCCCTGTGGTTATTTTCAGCACTGGAAGGAAGGCTAGCAATCCTGGGGAATCTTCACCGTTGCAATTGTTCAGAAATGATTTGAAGGTTGCCGTGAGTAACCTGGTCATGTTTGGAAGTAGCCCTGCTCTGAACAAGGCTTTGGCCTTCCTTCCAGAATAAATCTTTCTGTCAGTAATTCTAAGGAACATTTAAAAGCCTTTGTCACTTCTTGCCTAATTGCATCCATTGTTCAATTTCAATGAAAATCATCATGTCATGTGAACAACAGTCTCGAGTTTCCTTGTTGGGCATTTATGAACTCTATTTCCCTGAAGTCAGACTTCCCTCCCCATTCCTCCACAGGCTCTCACCTGCTCTTTTGTCAAATGTAATTCCCTCTGTTGAAGGCTCAGAATCTTTGCCACCTTTTCTTCATCCTCTTATCACTGAAAAACCTACAAGAATCCTTTGCTAGCTTTTTGGATGCGACACTCCCACATTTGTTTGGATACTGTCATTGATTAAATACACCCCAAAACAAACCTTGGCAAGAGCAAATGCAAATTTCCTTTAACATTCCCATCCACATCCCTTCTTGAACCATTTCTTTCCTGTTTTGTAGGACTGCACTCCTTTCTGGTGCATGGGCAGCTGTCCCCATGACAGGCCAAGGAAAGTGCATGGACTCCTCCAAGCATTTCAGATGGAAGGAACCTTGATGGGTCTGTACTTGAAGCTGCTGCTCACAGCAGGATGGGGAATGTGGAGATATTGTCCGATGCTGGGTATGAAGCCAGGGAAGCAGAAGTGATATTTGCAAAATGGATTAGTGGGCATGCTGGTATTTGGGCAAAGGCTGAACTTGATCTTGGAGTCTTTTTGAAGGAAATAGGAAGGAGTCCGGAGTCCTTAATGATTCCATGACTCTAAGGAGAAAAGGGAATTTTTTTTTGAAAACTGGTACTTCAGTGCCACCTCAGTGACCTGGATATCCTGACCCAGGAAAGCAAGGCTATAAACTACTACAAACAGGAAACTACCAGAGCCCCTGTGTCACAATGTACTTTGGTGTGTCTGAAATTGCTGTGGCTGATCTGGCTTTTGGAGAGTTTTGGTCACCTTTCACGCTGTCACCTGGGGTGTTGCACAAGACTTCTGTGCACGTATAAATACAGGGAGGTGAGATTGCCCTTCCCAAACAGCACTGGAGGAATTGCCCTCAGCTCTCCCCAGCCCTGCAGCTGGCATCCAGGTAAGAGGCACACTTTGCACAGGAGAGCTGGGAGGTTTCCTGGGCAGCTGCTGTGGAATGCAGGGGAAGGGAAGGAGGCTTCAGCGTTGGGCTGAGAGCTGCAGCACAGACGGGAGGCTCTGCTGTGTGCATGGGCAGAGACTGAGCCCATCCTTCAGGGCACGAGGAGATGGCTGCTGCAGGAGGAACAAACCTTACCAAGGGACAGGGTGGAGGGGGCCAGTGGCACACATTTGTGGAGGGTGAATGTGAGAGTATTTTACAACTTAACTCTGGAGCATATCTGTAAACCAACACATACATCTAATTAAAACTGGGTAGTTATGGCTACATAGCTCATTGTACATTGTCTCCCAAATGAAAATTTCTATGTCATGCCCCCACTCCTTTCCAGCTGCTGCTATGTTTATTCTGCTAAAAACATTTTACTTTTCCTTTTCTCCACCACACTTCCCATAATTTTGTGTCTGGAGTATAAACTTTTCTTACAAACTCTGCTTGTTTTCTGTCTTCCTTTTGTGCAGGCTGTCATCCAGCAAGAAATCTCTACTCCAGAAGTCCTACTGAGATGGGCAAAATCATCATTTATGAGCATGCCAACTTCCAGGGTTTGTCCCGGGAATTCACCACTAGCATTTCCAACCTAAAAGTTGCAGATTGGAATGATATGATCTCCTCAATGAAAGTAATTGGCCAGCCTTGGGTGGCCTATGAGCATGCTGACTACAGAGGCCAATTTCTGGTATTTGAGGAGGGAGAACATAAGTTTGTTGATAAAAAGATGAATGACAAGATCAGCTCTCTGCAGCTGATCACCGAAAATCTGCACAATCCCCAGATCACTCTCTACGAACATGCCAATTATCAAGGGAAGAGCAGAATAATAAGAGAAGAAACCAACCTGGGTGCAGGACATGACAATGACATCATGTCTTCTCACAAAGTCCAGAAAGGTGTGTGGCTGCTGTGTGAAAACAGTGATGGAAGTGGAATTCAATACCTTGCTCGAGAGCACGAACACCTTCCAAATCACAAGGCAATCAATTTCAATGACAAACTTTCCTTCCTGCGCCCCCTTCGCCCTGGCAGTGGCTCTTAGACTGCAAATCCTGCAGCACTGAGGAAAATGCAGCTCCCCCCGCAAGAAAACTGAGACCTTGTTCTCTGCCTCTGCTTGTGCTGCCTTTTCCCCCAGTGTCACAGGAGCACTGGATGTGAGAGCTCTCTGCTAGGCTGCACTGCAGATCTGTACTTCTCTATCCTGCCTGGCACTCTTCTCCCACCCCACAAATGCAAGAGTCATGATGCTCGATCATACAAAAGAGTGACCAAGCTAGAGGAGGCATGCCAGATGTGTGAAATGTATTGTACCCTCAGGTGGCCTTCCAGAGTCCTGGGCTATGGAATGTAGAAGCATTGGAGGTTGTTTCTGTTGCTAAGTGGTACAGAAAGTGTTCAGAACCAGCATCGCTTCCTTTGTAATTTGCTTTGCCATCCCCTTGTGGTGCTGTGCCCTCTGCCATTGTCTGTAATCCATTTTGTGTTGGTGCTATTAAAGAATCCTTTGCAAACAGCAGTTGGTCTGTTTTGTGCATCTTTAGAATAGATAGATATTGCTCTTTCATGGTGAGATGTCTCTGTGTATGCAGAGAACGGTCCATGGAGTCACTTGCAAACATTTTTCCTGGATGTCTCCTGAAGAATTGTCTCCTTCCAGTTTAATTGGCCAGTAACAGTGGAGTCAGGCTTGACTCAAGAAGTTTTGGTGAGTATTAGCCTGTTGCTGATCTTGGCCAAACTCTCAGCTGCACATTGTACCTAGCTATTACATTCTTGGTTGTATCTCAAGGCAGTGGTTGTAGCAATGATACAGTCTTCCACTGCCCTTAATCACATAAGAAACAGAATGTTTTCACTGATTTGAATTCTTTAATCCTAATGGTAAAACCTGTCTTGTTTTTTAAATATCTTGATGAGGGAGGAGGGACGACAAGGTATTCCATGGTCTGTTCTGGCAGGTGCAAGTTCACCTGGAAGTGCAGAGCCCCAGCCCTCCTCCCCCGCTGCCCAGTGACAGCTGCACGCCCTGGGCTGTGCATTGTGGCAGCTGTGCCGTGGCAGCTCTGCACTGCAGTGTTGCTGTCCCTCTGTGCTGGCCTGCAGTGTGCCCCGTTGCCCTGCACTGCTCTCTGCCCAGAGAAGCCGTGGCTGGGCCAAACCTCCAAGTGTTCAGGGCCAGGTCTGACACAGCTTTGAGCAACCTGGCCCGGTGGGAAATCTCCCTGCTTAAGGCACGGTGTTCAACTAGATGGAGTTTTGAAACCTCTCTCCCAGCCAAAATCATTCCGTGATTTTGTGATTCTAGGATGTGCAAATTCAGCAATACAGTGAGCCTTGCGAGGGGTTCCGGTCCAGTCTCTTACTTTCATGTTCCTCTTTTTACATCCTACAGTACCTCTTTTTACAGTAACAGTTTTAAATTTTGGATATCAGCACAATGAATTTATATGGCTCCAAGCATCAGTAAAACCCTTGCTTTCCAAGGCTGACTGACGAGGAAATCTACCCTGTCCTACTGTGCAGGGCTGTGTAGACAGAAGTCTCTGCTAAAGCTTTAGCATTTTTACAGCTAAGGCTGGATGGTTTATGGTTGTGGCATGACAGGGTAGAAGAATAGCACCTTTCCAGCTGCTTCTGTGGCATGTAGTGGATATTGACTGAATGTTGTGAAGCATGGTGGAAAAGCAGCACATATACAGTAAGAATTCACAATTCTAGAGTGCTTTCATACAATGGAAAGAAAATAAAGATTCAGGAACATCTTTGTTGATGTAATTTCCTTGTTTCTGAAACTATGACCTGAAGATTCTTGCAGAGTATAACATATAAGCATTCAGTTAATATTTTTTTCTTTTATTGATAGTAGAAACTGCCCTGAAATTGGTGCTTCGGGCCTATTATTCCTCCTCCTAACTGGAAGATAAAGAAGGCCAAAGTGAGTTAAATTAAGGGAGTTAAAATTAACTGGCAAAACCCAGGTAAAGGAATTTATTTATCTTTTGCAGTACCTGAGCCTGGCTGTCTCCGGCTTCAGAGAAGTTTACTATGCTTATAAAACACTATAGCTACTCCAGCTTCAGTGTCTAAGGAAGTGTAGAAATCATTTAGTGAAGGAGGGAGGAAGAGAGGGAGAGACATGGAGACTTCTGTCACTTGCATTTATTCTCTATAATTATTTATTGTCTTTTCACATATCAGATAAAAACAGAAGGTAGTCACATACAATAAAATTTTTAAAAAACCCTTACAAATACCTGATTGATTGGGTTGTTATGCATTGCTCCACCTTTCTCCTGTTCCCTGCCTTAGTTCTTTCACATTTTGTTTCTTTTCCATTGCAGTTGTAAATATAACTCTCCTGTCAAGATGAGCAAGGTCCTGATGAGATCTTGAAGGAGTCGCTGTGAACACAAGATTTACCTGGAAACCTGGGAGAAGTCAAGAAAGGTTGTGGGGAGTCAGCTAGCTCATTTCCCATACCTGGAGGTATAAAACACATGGCTTAGGGAACCCTACTCTTATCTAAGGAAGAAAAGAGAACTCCAGAATGGAAGATAAACAAGGTAACATGCAATGCTTAATTCCAAACACCTGTGACTGTCTAATAGTCTGTTCCCCTGGAGAAGCGTGTTGCTGCTTGCTCTTCCTCTGTTGCAGCAACACGCCATCAGCTGAGGACAGGGCTTGTCTGTGTGTCTGTCTGTGTGTCTGTCTGTCAGTGGCTGCCATGGCCAGCTGAAGCTGTGCTACCTGTGCTGAGACTCGCTGTCTGTCTCAGCTCCCTGTGCCTTCCTGCAGCCTCTCTTCTCCTACCCTCACCCACCAACACAGCCGTGGCCACTTGCCCAACATTTCCTCTTCCCTCAGCCCCCTGCAGGAAATATTTCCCCAGCAGTGCAGCAACAAACCTTCCTGTCCCACTCTGCTTTCTCCTCCCTGGCTTCAGAACCAGCATGGGAATATCTCCCCATTCTCTGTCCTGCCATGAGCAGCAGTTTGAAGCAGAAAACCCTGGAGGTTCTTTCCAGCCTAAATTTTTCTTGCAGCCCATACACTCTGCTTGGAATATCATAGGCACAGCTACCCCTGCCCCAGAGAGGAGTGCAATCCTACAAAATGGAAAAGGAAAGTTTTAAGGAGGGATATGGATGGGGTGGTTTCAGGAAATTTCATATTTGCAAAGCTTGTTTTTTAAATTTTTTTTTTAAATAAAAAGCAGACTCTAAAAAAATGCAGAAGTGTCAGGTCCAAAACTCTAGCAAGGGATTCTTGAAAGTTTTTCAGTAATAATAGGATGAAGTAAAGGTGGAGAAGGACTTTGACCCTTCAGTGGAGAGGATTACATTTGACAATAGAGCAGGTGAAAGCCACTGGTGAATTGAGTGGGAATTCTGATGTTGGGGAAGATGGAATTTATAAATATCCAAGAAGTAATCCTGAAGTTATTGTACATATGACTTGCTGATGACACTTTTTCATTGAAATTGAACAAAGAATGAAATCAAGCAGAAAGTGACAAAAGTTTTTAAATCTTCCTTAGAATTACTTGCAGAAAGATTTATTCTGGAAGGGACTTCCCTATTCCAAAGCCTTTTTCACAGCAGAGATACCACCAAAGGAAAACCGATTGCTCATGGCCATTTTCAAATGATTTCTGAAAATGGCAATGGTGGAGATTCCCCGGAGTCTCTGGCCTTTCTGTCAGTGATGAGCAATACTTGGTATGCGGTTTTTATTCCTTATTTTATGTCAGACTTTCCCTGTTGCCATCTAAGACTCTTTCCAGTTGTCCTTTTGCTGAGTCCCTCTGATAACACCCTTGTCTTCTCCAGGCTGAAGAGGACCAGCCCCCTGAGACTCTCCTGTTTCCTGGGATGCTCCTGTGCCATCCAGTGGCCTGTAGGGGCTCCCACCATTTTGTTCACATTGACCTTTCCATAGGGCATCTGAAAGAATGAAGTATTCCAGGTGTGGCCTCCATTCAGAGACGATGGAAATAAACTCTTCCATTATCCTGCTCCTCCAGTTTTCATACTGTGCAGGATTCAACTGCCCTTCGACTTCTTATCCACCAACAGAAGGAGTGGGAGAGAAGCCATTCTGACACACCTAAAATTAATTTCCCAGTGGTTGCATATATCAAATACTGTCATGCCTGAGGTAGGGTAAAACCTTTACAGAAGTGTTTACTGGAACATCTCCTCTTCAAAATGAGTCTAAAAAAAGAGTTAGTTGGATTGAAAAGATCAAAACAGGAAAATCCATTTCTCACAGACTACATGAAAGTTGGAATGAGGTGACCAGAATGCTTTTCTCTTCCTCTGACCATGCTCCAAAGAGTTTAGATGTGTGAGTCAAGTGAGTCAACTCTGTGAGTGTGAGAGGCCAACTGGCTGAAATCATTAGGAAAGCAAGAATGGCTGAGCAACCTCAGTGTTGACAGAAGCCTGTGAGATAACATCAGCGAAACACCAGATCACTCCTGCAATTTCACCTCCTAACAGAATCAATTTGCAATCTTATGCTTTTGGTTTGGCAGTAAACTGCTCTCCTAACTGGCAAACCTACAGTGAAATTTTGCTTAGAAGTTCAATCACTGATGAGACAGGACAAAGAATATCAAGAAATGGTGGGGCAGACCTGTTGGATCTCAAATGCTTCAAACAATTAATTGTTCTATGCAGTTAAATTAGTAATAACACTTCTGCATGAAGCTACTATTTTCTTTGATCCTTCCACAATCCTCTGAGTTTCTTTTGCAGGAAGGTTTTCTTTCCCTGATTGACAGTTTTTCAGGAATTCTGAAAGAAGGTGTGGACCAGGAATGAAATTGTGGGTAGCACCTGTAATATGTCTTAGATGTGATTCTTACTCTAAATGAGTCTGAAATCCAGAAGACATTGTGAGCAGGGTGTGTGTTGTGGGAGGGAGGTGCATATGTGTTTTTCCTGAGAAGCTCTGAAGAAAGGGGGCAGGAAAGAGAGATATTTCCAGAACACACCAGTCAATTAATCTGTTGTGAGCATGCACATCTGTAAT